CAAGAAAAAAAAAAAAAAAAAAAAAAGATGAAATGCTATCCCAATTTGAACTTAATTATATTGAAGATTTTTCTTAGGATAATGGAGTAATTTCATTTCTTAAATGCTCATTGTAACACCTAGATTATGCTATGACTTTAGCAACTTGGTTCTACTAATATATAACTGTTTTGATAGAATAGATGGAGAAGTAAGGCCATTTTTAAAGTTGAAAAGAATAACAATATTTGAGAAGGGAAGGAGGCAGAGAAAAAGACTGACAAGTCTGTGCTTACATTCTGAGTGAGAAGAATAGTAATGTTCCAGCTGTGGAAAACACTACTGGTTCATAACATATTAAATGAAGAGAACATTGTGTATAATATGTCTGTAAAAATTACATGTGGATTAAAATGTAGAAGGATCCACCTCAGAAGCTTAACACTGGTTAAGTTCAAATAGTGGTGATGGAGTTTCCTATTTTTGTGCTTCTATGTTTCCTAGATTTTTCTACAATAAACCCATATAATTTTCTAATAAAAAATAGAGCATTTTGTCTTTAAAATACAAACTATTTTAATATAAAGAAAACAAATAAATTTTGATATTAAGTCTATAAATAAGATAGAATCTATTTATATAAAAAAATGAAACTGCACATTTGTGGGCCAAACAACATGTGAGTTTTTCATTTTTCCCAAACATATGCACAGAATTAATTGTTTTGAATTTTATTAGCACAAAGTGTGGAAGAGCCCTTTCATTCCATAAAAAATGTGTTGATGTTTTTAACAATAAACTTCTGAACTATCAAAAAGAATGTAGATCAAAATCAGTGAAGAAATAGTTTTTAAAAAGCCAGAAAGCTATAAAACTTACGAGTCCTGCTAGAGCCATGCTATGAGCCATCAGTAACACTGAAGCTACTAAAATTTAGGTCATTTGACAAATACAAAGGGCCACGTAAGAACAACAGTGAATGGATAACTTATTTTACATATGATTAACAGTAATTTTTATTTTTTAAAAATCCTCTAGAAAAATGACTTATTTTTAATGTTTCAAGTTATTTATGCAACTCTGGATAAAATATGCTTATTTACCTGATTCTTCTATGCTCTATTTTCCTCAATTCCATCATTATACATTGTCTCACTTATTGGCAACATGCCAACACCCTGACTGGTTCAGTTACCCTGTTTTTGCCTTGATCATGGCTAATCAGGTTGCACTTGCTTTAAAATTCCACTGATCTCACCTGATTTTACTGACACTTGGTTTACATATCAACTGGCTACTCTAACCTTCCAATGCCAGTTTCCAAACCAATTAAGGTACCTGGATAACAAAGGAAGATGCTCTTTATATGCAAAACCATAGAATATGATAGGCGACAGGGAATAAATGTAACAACATGCCTTTGTAGAAACATGATGCTAGGAACTAAGAATACATTTCACTTAAAGTTTCAGAATTTAAATTATTCCATAAACTAAATGTTTTTGTCAGAAATAAAGGCTGCATCTAGTTACTTAGTTTCTATGTTTAACTACTTATTACTAGGTCTAAAATGTTAGCTATATAACCATAAACACAACATAAAGTAACTCAATTAATAACCAGGGTACATTCTTGAAACTAAAATTACAAGAGAAATTCAGCAGTGTCAAAAATAAGCCCATCTGCAAACATTCATCACTATTCTTCCCTTCCTCTCTATCAGCACTTGGCATACTTCCTTCATATCTCATTTTATCTTTAAAAAAACATATTTTAAAAAAAGTTCTTCAAGAACAGTGTAACCAAAGAAAGCAAACTAAAATACAATGCTGTCAATAAAAAAAGCATTAAATATAAAACTTACCAGTACTAAAATGTAAATTTGAAAGATACTTATTTTTGAAAAAGCCCCAATATTTCTTTGTTTACTAGTTAGACTGACCATTTTTCTAAAAGTTTATTAGCTGTTTCCCCTTATAAAAGCTGTTTTGTCTATTTATCTACTATGTTTTCTTAACAATTTGTATGACCTCTTTATATGTAATATGGATATTATCCCTTTCTGTCATATATTTTGCAAATATTTTCGACCCATCTTTGTTTTCTTTCTTTTAAATTTGGTTTCAGTTTTTAGTTAATGCTCTCTCATTTCTTATGGCTAGGATATGACATAATAATAAATAAATTCAGGAATTTTTTTTTACACAAATGATGATTAGTGGAGTAATAGAGTGCTACTACAATTTCCAGCAAAAAAAGGACAGACAAGCCTCACTCTTAGTTTGCTACTTAGGAAGGACACCACTTCAAAACACATTCAGAACTAACTGTATTATTTTCCAAATGATTCAGAACTGTTCAAAATGATGAGCAATGTATAAGTCATGAAATAAACACTGTTGTCTGGGAAGGCATACAAGCAAATACAAGGTATGTTATTCACTGAATTACTCAAACCTAATAACAATGATTAAACACAAACTAATTTATACTCAGAAAATAAAAATATTAATCCAATAAATAAAATTATATAAAGTCCTTTTTTTCTTTTCCTTTTTATATAAAGTCCCCTTTAAGAGGATTTACTGAAAGTTTGAAAATGAGTTATTTTTCTCTTTTATGAATATTTAAAAAACATTATTGTGAAAAATAATTTCTCTTCAAGAATATTAATTTTAGAGATCAAACTAAGGCTAAGAATATGAAAACAATGACATAGAAACTGATAAAACAAAAGTTAAAAGTAGAAGTCCTCCCATTAAAATTATCACTATATTAATGCAGTAAGTATAAAAGTATATAATGCATTAAGAAACTCTGATATACAAAAATTCAGATTTACATGATGAAGTACTAATAAGTTTATATTATACAATGATGCTTGGCTTATAAAAGGATTCAATACATATTTTCTAAATGGTCATTTCCCTCAACAAAGTTAAGTGTATACAATTTTAATATCTCTTTGAAACAGTGATCCAAGCTTCCTCCTTGGATGATGTTACCAGTTCATACTTAGTTTCAATAACTTGTCCCTCCACAGAAAGTAGGTGCAGTCTCCTCACCAGTACACTCAAAAGTACTGTGGTCACCATATATGCAAACCTAGTCAGGAAGAAGGTCAACTGGTTACTAAAGATTAACAACTATACTTTAACTATATAGATTGTTCATTCTCATCAACAGTGATAAACAAAATTATAAGTACAAAGTCTAGCATCTTTCCTTTCATTGTGGTTTCTCTATCAGCATTCCTGTGTGCCTGAGAATCCAAGCAAGGAGAAAGTCTTCATTACCGATTCATCATCAAACCGCCCTGGATCAAACCTAAAAAGAAGATTTGGGCCTGATCACAACAGAGTTCCACTGGCATGGTACATATTTACACTATGAGAACACGGGTATGTAATAAAGTTTTAAAACTACTGAAGATAGAAACTGCTCTCACGTTATATTTAAATTTGACCTTTTATGTTCCCAAACTATTGAACATATATTACATCTTTTTTTGCTTACTTTATTATTTCTATTTTATTTATTTATGTATTTATTTATTTATTTATTTTTTGACTACACTGGGTCTTCGTTGCTGTGAGCAGGCCTTCTCTAGTTGCAGCGAGCGAGGGCTACTCTTCACTGTGGTGTGGAAGCTTCTCATTCAGCTGGCTTCTCTTGTTGCGAAGCACGGGCTCGAGGCGCATGGGCTTCAGTAGTGGCAGCACACAGGCTCAGTAGTGGCTCGCGGGCTCTAGAGTGCAGGCTCAGTAGTTGTGCACAGGCTTAGTTGCTCTGCGGCATGTGGGATCTTCAGGACCAGGGATCGAACCCATGTCCCCTGCACTAGCAGGCAGATCCTTAACCACTGTACCACCAGGGAAGCCCCTACTTCTAAAGAATAGATGCAAAATACATTTCTCTAGAATCATCGAGGAATGAAACTGTAACATGCAACTACATCATTTATGAGATTTAAGGATAAATTTATGAGATTTAAGGATAAATAATTTAAGGGTAAATTAAGAATAAATTTAAGGATAAATAAATTTAGGCTGGAGACACCAGACTAAAATTTCTATTAATCAATTACATGAGACCCAGACTTATTAATAAGTGAGGGAAATGAAGAGGCTAAGAAGGATCTTTTATTGTACAGAAGTTTACTCTGTAAAAAGTCAATGGGAGCAATTACACTCTAATAAAGATGTTTTAAAAAAAAAAGTCAATGAGGAAATGGATATATTAAGTGAAAACAACCCACCCACCAAGGACCACAAAAATTCCTCTCAAAAACAAGTGTTTTTAAAAGAGCTAAACTCTGAGAAAAAGAAAAAGAATCCTGCTTTCATTGTCCTTTTTAAAAAGTGTAAATTATCTTTCACTTTTGGAATATACTATATTTATATTACTGTCCATATAAAAAATTGTATCAAATTTAATCAGCCTTTCCTTTTGTAAACTATCTTGAAAATTGAGACCCTAAATGTTTACTTCAAGATACCTATGTTTCCAGATTAAAAGGGAATCAAACTTGAGTTTTCCAACTACTTTTTTTAATCTTTATTTTATATTGCAGTACAGTTGATTTACAATGCTGTGTTCAATTCAAGTGTACAGCAAAGTGATTCAGTTATACATACACATATATCTATTTTTTTAGAATCCTTTCCCATATAGGTTATTACAGAATATTGATTAGAGTTTCCCGTGCTATACAGTAAGTTCTTGTTAATTATCTATTTTACATATAGTAGTCTATATATGTTAATCCCAACCTCCTAGTTTATCCCTCCGCCCCACACCTTTCCCCTTTAGTAACCCTAAGTTTGTCTTCTAAGTCTGTGAGTCTGTTTCTGTGTTGTAAAAAAGTTCATTTGTATCACTCTTTTAGATTCCACATATAAGTGATATCATATGATATTTATCTTTCTCTGTCTGACTTACTTTATTTAGTATGATAATCTCTAGGTCCTTTCACGTTGCTGCAAATGGCATTATTTCAGACTTTTTTATGGCTGAGTAATATTCCATTGTATATATGTACCACATCTTCTTTATCCATTCCTCTGTCGAGGGATACTTACCTTGCTTCCATGTCTTGGCTACTGTAAACAGTGCTACAATGAACACTGGGGTGTATGTATCTTTTCGAATTATGCTTTTCTCTGGATATATGTCCAGGAGTGGGATTGCTGGATCATATGGCAACCCTATTTTTAGGTTTTAAGGAATCCCCATACTGTTCTTCATAGTGGCTGTACTAATTTACATTCCCATCAACAGTGTGGGAGGGTTCCTTTCTCTCCACACCTTCTCCAGCATTTATTGTTTAGAGACTTTTTGATTATGGCCATTCTGACCGGTGTGAGGTAATACCTCATTGTAGTTTTGATTTGCATTTCTCTAATAATTAGCTATGTTGAGCATATTTTCAAGTGTTTTTTAGTCATCTTCACTAACAACAAAAGACCAGAAAGAGAAATTAAGTAAACAATTCCATTTACCATTGCATCAAAAAGAATAAAATACCTTGGAATAAACCTATCTAAGGAGGCAAAAGACCTGTACTCCAAAGACTATAAGATGCTGATGAAAGAAACTGAAGATGACACAAACAGATGGATATACCACATTCTTGGATTGAAAGAATCAATATTGTCAAAATGATTATATTACACAAGGTAATCTACAGATTCAATGCAATCCCTATAAAATTCAATGTAATCCCTGTCAAATTAAACAAAAAATTTTTAATTTGTATGGAAACACAAAAGACCCCAAATAGCCAAAGCGATCTTGAGAAAGAAAAATGGAACTGGAGGAATCAGGTTCCCTGACCTCCAACTATAAAGCTACAGTAAGAAAAACAGTATGGTACTGTCACAAAGACAGACCTGGAGAGCACTGGGACAGGACAGAAAGCCCAGAAATAAACCTGAGCACCTATGGTCAATTATTCTATGACAAAGGAGGCAAGAATATACAATGGAGAAGAGACAGTCTCTTCAACAAGTGGTGCTGGGAAAACTGGACAGCTACATTTAAAAGAATGAAATTAAAACCTTCTCTACCACCATACACAAAAATAAATTCAAAATGGATTAAAGACCTAAATGTAAGACCAGGTACCATAAAACTCTTAGAGTAAAACATAGGCAGAACACTCCTTGACATAAATCACAGCAATATCTTTTTGGCTCCACCTCCTAGAGTCATGAAAATAAAAACAAAAACTAACAAATTGGACTTAATTAAACTTAAAAGCTTTTGCAGAAAAAAGGAAACCATAAACAAAATGAAAAGACAACCCACAGAATGTAAGAAAATATTTGCAAATGATGTGACCAACAAGGGATTAATCTCCAAAATATACGAACAGCTCATGCAACTCAATATCAAAAAAAGAAACAACCCAATCAAAAAATGGGCAGAAGATTTAAATAGACATTTCTCCAAAGAAGACATACAGACGTCCAACTATTTTATGAAATACCTCACAATTTTAAGGATTAAAAATAAAATTAAAATGAAAAATAATTTGGCCTCAAATGCTGAAAGATTTTTTAATCTAAAGTTTTTCAGCTTTATTGATTTATAACTGCAAAGCTGTAATATATTTAAAGGGCACTACCATGTTGTTTTGGTTACTAAAGCTTGGTAACATAGTTTGAAATCAGGAAGTGTGATGCCTCCAGCTTTGTTCTTTTTCCTCAAGATTGCTTTGGCTATTCTGGGTCTTTAGTGGTTCTGTGAATTTAAGGATTGTTTATTCTATTTCTATAAAAATTGACATTGGGATTTGGACAGGGATTGTACTGAATCTGTAAATTGCTTTGTCTAGTAGGAACATTTTAACAATATTAATTCTTCCAATCCATGAACACAGATTATCTTTCTATTTATTTGGGTCTTCTTCTATTACTTTCGTCAATATTTTAGTTTTCAGAGTACAGATCTTTCATCTATTTGAATTTAATCCTAAGTATTTTACTATTTTTGATGCTATTGTAAATGGGATTGTTGTCTTAACTTTTCTTTCTCATAATTTGTTGTCAATGTATAGAAAAGCAACTGACTTTTTTATATTGGTTTTGAATCATGAAACTTTACTGAATTCATTTATTAATTCTAACAGTTTTTGGTGCAATCTTTAAGGTTATCTATGTATAATATCATGTCATCTCCAAGTAAAGGCAATTTTACTTCCACCTTTCTGATTTTATTTCCTTTTCTTTCCCAATTGCTCTGGCTAGGACTTCTAGTATCATGTTGAATGAAAGTGGTGAGAGTGGGTATCCTTGTCTTGTTCCTGATCTTAGAGGAAGACCTTTCATCATTTCACCCTTGAGTATGCTGTTAGCTATAGGCATGTCATATATGGCCTTTATTATGTTGAAGCACATTCCTTCTATACCTAATTTGTTGAGTTTTTATCATCAAAAGATATTCAATTTTGGCAAAAGCTTTTTCTATATCTACTGAGATGATCATACAGTTTTTATCCTTCATTTTGTTAATGTCATATATCACATTGATTGATCTGCACATTTTGAACCATCCATCCTAGATTTACCCCAAGAGTAAAGCCCACTTAATCATGGTGTATAATTCTTTTAATGTACTACTGATTTTGGTTTGCAAATATTTTGTTAAGATTTTTTCCATATATGTTCATTATGGATATTGTCCCATAGTTTCTTGTAGTGTCCTTTTCTGGCTTCCATCAAGGGTAATACTGGCCTCATAAAATGAATTTGGAAATCTTCCCTTCTTTTCTATTTTTGGGAGGAGTTTAAAAAGGACTGGCATTAATTCTTCTGGAAGTGTTTGGTAGAATTTACCAAGGAGGCTATCTGGTCTTGGACTTTTCTCTGTTAAGAGGATTTTGATTACTGACTCAATCTCCTTACTAATAACTGGTCTGCTGAGATTTTCTACTTTTTCATGATTCAGTCTCCTTGGTAGGTTTTATGTTTCTAGGAATATACCCATTTCTTCTAGGTTATCTAATTTGTTGGCATACGATTATTCATAGTAATTTCTTACGATCCTTAGTATTTATGTTCTCAGTTGTAATGTCTCCTCTATCATTTACAATTTTATTTATTTGAGCCTTCCCTTGTTTTTTCTTATTAAGTCTAGCTAAATATTTGTAAATTTTGTTTACCTTTTCAAAAAAACAGCTCTTAGTTTCACTGATCTTTTCTATTGTCTTTCTAGTTTCTATTTCATTTGTTTCCACTCTGATCTTTATTTTCTTTTACTAATTTTGGACTTTGTTGTTGTTGTTTTTTTCCAATTCCTTGAGGTGTAAAGTTAGGCTGTTTATT